TATATTAAATTATAATTTTATTACACGTTAATATATTACATGCATATTTATAAAATACAATTCCAATATAATAATTATAATGTCAACAAAAATATATTTCTTTAATCACAATATTTTGATAACATATTTAACAAAATAATTAGATTAACCCAAAATTAGAAATAAACATACTTAATAACTTTAAAAATCATAATAATTACTATTCAAAATATAATTATTTAAATTGCTATAAATAATTATTAGAGAACGTTAAAACTTAACTATTTTTATTATAATATTACATTTATATTTAGAGCATTATATTATTTTTAATACAAATATTAATAAATTTCATAATTAATTAATTTACAATAATGCTCATAATTTTTTTAAAAAAATAATCTACATGCATCCAACACAAGGTTTCCAGGTCATATATATAGCGCAAAAGTTGTCATTGACAATTTTAGGATTCTCAGTTTTTTCTATTCCATGCTTGACCTGCATGCAGAGACCTATCATGATCAAAACTTGTCATTAGTGATTTTACAAAGGTTCATACCTTAATTCAACTCACCCAAAATTAAAAAAAAAAGTTCACGAGGTTAACGGTTGGTTGGGAAGCTAAATTATCTTACTGTCACTCGTCTAGACATCTCTTATGCAGTCAGTGTGGTAAGTCAATTTCTTAATTCTCCTTGTGAAGGACATTGGGACACATTGATTCGCATCTTAAAATATATCAAAGGAGCCCCATGAAAAGGACTCATGTATGAGGACAAGGTTTATGCTTAGATTGTAAGTTACTTTGATGCAGATTGGCCAAGTTGTCTTGTTAATAGAAGATCTATTTCTGGTTATTGCATTCTTATTAGAGAGAATTTAATTTCTTGGAATAGCAAGAAGCAAAGTGTAGTTGTCCGCTCAAGTGCGGAAGCAGAATATCGAGTCATGGCTTTAGTCACATACGAACTTATCTGGCTGAAACTTCTTCTCAAAGAACTGAAATTTGGAGAGATTACACAAATGACACTTATTTGTGATAACCAAGCAGCCTTGCATATTGCCTCAAATCGAGTATTACATGAAAGGATGAAGCACATTGAGATCGATTGCCACTTTTGAGAAGATCTTATCGGGGGACATCACCACAAGCTTTGTTAATTCAAATGATCAATTGACAGATGTTTTTACTAAGTCTTGAGAGGTACTCGAATTAGTTACATATGTGATAAGCTTGGTGCATATGATCTATATGCTCAAGCTAGAGGGGGAGTGTTAAAAATATATAATATGAAAACATATAATTATAGTAATGTTGTAATTAGGAAAATGATATTCCTGTAATTATGGAATATCTCTGTAATATCTCTTATATCAATGCTCCCAGTATAAATATATGCTCCGTTGTGTAGTTGAGACACACGGATTCATGATGAATCCATATTTTTACTAGTATTTTACTATAGTTTTAATCCATTTGATAAGGAAAATGTGTTGAAAAAAGCAAAAAAATTCATAAAATAGAATGATTGAAGAATTTCTTTAAATACATAGTTAGTTTAGCATCTATGAATTTTCTGTGTAGAAATTAATAATTGAAGTGTGTTTTTGTAGAAAATTCTGAGCAAAGTTCATGAAGCTGGAAGATCAATGGAGAAATAGCAGAAAAGTAGCAAGTCTGGACTCAAAGAACATAGCTTATGGAGTTTAAGCTAGGCGTGATTACTCTTGTCAACGAATGTGAGTGATTCATAGCTTAAATGAGAAGTTGAGTGTGGGCATGATCACTATTATCACTGAAAGTGCATGTTCTAGAAAAGTTCAATCTCAGCAAAGTTGTGCGTTACCACTTTTGTCAGTAAAAGTGGATGTTTCGGAGAAGCTCCATACATGACGAGTTGTGCGTTACTACTCTCGCCAACAAAAGTGAATGTTCCAGAGAGCCCTCAACTAGAGAAGTTGCGCGTGGCCACTTTTACTCATAAAAGTGAACACGCACTACCACTCGACATCCTGCGTTGCAACTCTTACCAGCGAAAGTAATAGTTCCAGTCTTCTAGAATCACATGAGCTTCTGCGTTACCACTCTTATGAAGCAAAGTGACAACGCCCAGAGTCAGAAATCTTATAAATACCAGATCAAGCTCAGATTTCGGGGTCTTTTGCTCATTTTCTGTTTTTCACTTCATTTCTTCGTTGAGAGAGAGTCAGAGAGAGGATTGGGGACGAACATCAAGCTCCAAGAAGAGGGATCGAATTGGGGATTGTTGAAGATGGATCTTCTGCGTTCTTCTCCTTCTTCTTTTTCTTTCTCTTTCTTTGCTACAATGTTTGCTTAATTCTTTGTAGTTAGGAGTTTATGGACCTTGAATTGATGTATTGATTCGCTTCTTGCTTCTAAAATTTGAGTTATTGGATTAATTAAATTGTTAATTCTGCTATCATTGCAATCTTTGAATGGAAATTCGTATGATTAATCAAAGAGGAACATTTGCCAATGGAAGTTGGATTTGCTTTTCTGATCTGAATTAGCAACCAGAATTAGGAATTTCTTAGGGATAAGGGAACTTAATTCTGCAATCTTATGGTTCTAATTCTTAATGCAACTTGAAATTGAATCTCACATAAGGGATTAAGAGGATTTAGTTGATCGTTAGGGTCAATGAGTTAAAAGATTAACCTTTGACTAGTTATATGTGAAACTAATTGTCAATTAACCAATTGCTTGAATGTTCAGAGGCATAATTAAATTGATATTGACATTCTTGTAAAATAAATTCCTAACTATCATTCATCCATTCCTAATCTCAACATCAAATTCTGTACTCTGTTTTCTGCAAGATCTTTACCTTTTAATTGTTTTTGTTTCTTGATTTCTGAATGTTACAACTCTTGCAAGTTCTTATATGTCAACTAGTTATTATTTTGTGAATTGATAATTGAATTCCTAATTCCTTGTGGAGACGATACTTGGATCTTAAATTTATTCATTACTTGCTGCAATTCTTAGTGCACTTGCTAGTGTTTAGAATTGTAACAACAATTCACTCAATGCTTCTTCATTTTCTTTTCTCTTAACAGAATCTAAATGAATAGTTGGGCCAAGTTGGAGCTAAATTTGATGATGCTGATGATGATCCTTAAATTTAGATGATTTGGAGATTCCTACTTTTGATGATGACCTTGATGAAGTTGGAGATAAAGAAAATGAAGAGCAAACAGAAGATGATTATTACGATCAAAACTTGAATAACTTGATAGAATAAGGAAGATAAATGATGGACACTTTGACTAGTTTCTTGTGCTTTATTACTACTTTTGAGTTTTATGTGTAATTGACTTGAAAACATATTTATTGTCATTAATGTTTAAGTTGTGATTGTTTTTTTTTAATTTAAGACAATTTGTTCCTTATTTATCTTATTTGAGGTGTATATATATGTTTAAATATAGTTTTATATGTTAAGTAGGATCTTACAATCCGTGTTAGGATCCAATAAAATACATGTTTTTCTCTCCCTTCCAATCCTAAGTAGGATTTCGATTTTGACTACCTTGCTGTTAACAAATACCTTCAATGATGCCCTATAGATGTTAAAACACAAATAACATAACAAAAGAGAAAATCAATGATGGATGCAAGGGACTAAACTAAAGTTTTGTCAGGACAAAAAAAAAAAAAAACAAAACTCTATGAGAACAAAAATAAAATGAGCAAGTCATTCAGGAGTACAAGGAAAAATAGCATTGCAACTTGTTAATATACAAAGTTACCATTGGTATAACCAACATAATTTTCTTCTTGACAATGAATAGGATATCTCTAACTTTGTCAAGCATTTTTCATTAACCCGTTTTGTCTTATTTTTACAATTTGAATTATTCCCTTTTAAAATGGCTTGCTACCATTTTTCTCTTGGGTCCACCTACATAATTTCTACATAAGCAACTCATGGAATCAAAAGTCCAAACCTTTATCTCATTCGAAGCATTTTCTCCTGAAAATTCTATATATTTCTTATGCAACTAACTTAGAATATGCATCTAGTAGAGAAAAAAAAAAGTAATAAATAGAAAACAAAAGATGGCACTAAAAAACTCAATATACACTTTTATATAAAAGGAAATGATTCAACTCACGATACATAAATCCTTCTCGCGTAGAACCAAATGTAAGTGAAATCATTGCTTCCCTACAAATACTATCTCAATCTAAGCATATCTCCTGTTTGCAACATTTTAAGTCCTAGAACACATGGGAATGGAGAGAAATATGCAGTGGAGATGATGAGATAAAGTTAGATGAAGAGAAATTTCAAAAGCACAAAGTTTCAAAATGAGAAGAGATGTATAATAATGGAGAGAAATGTGTTTTGTGCATAGATTTTCTCAAGGACATATAAAGAGATGTATCATTGTTAAAGACAAGGTCCTATGTATTAAATAACTATAACACTTTCAAGGATCTAAAAGCACAATAAATATAACCGAGAAACCTTTAATTACCAGTCACGTAGATGCACCACATAAATCGCTAACTCACGGTAATCAAACCTAAAAAAAAAAAAAAAAACCGATCTAACCTAAAACCACAATATCAATTTAGTTTAATTCAGTTTAAATAGTATTATTTTTATGACAATTTTATATAACTTTTAAAACAAAGATTGAATCAAACCGAATTGCAAACATCCTTGCTGTCAGAGTCATGAGTAGTTTGGATAGGGGAATTAGGTATGGATTGGAAAGTCTCTTTCAATTTTAGTCCAACACAATTTTCAACTCGCGGTTACCATAGTACTAGTCATTGATTATTGGCAGATGTTGCCACGCTTAGTTCATTACTGATTAATGGCGGATGTTAATTATATCGTTGTTAATTAACTACACTATTTTGGGATAAGTTTTTGCATACCTTGCCCCGCAAGGACTAATATTATTCTAAGGCAAATCTTCAATTAGTAGAAGATGCCAAAAGAACCTTTGGACGTTATCATTAGCAAGTACTCAATTTGGGAAATGAACCATACCAAATACATTACATGCATCTATCCCTTTATGATCATTCTTTCATTATCATTATGCTAAGAAAATGTCTTACTTAAATGCCTAGCTCAAAGTTGACACTACAAACATCAAAGCACGAAGCCTAATCTGTCGTATTGCTGTAACTTCTCCAATTATCAATACAGTGATGACCTGTCACATGACTACAATCCATATTTATGAAATTGACTAAGCAACCTTCTTCATCTTGTAAATTCCATTCTCTACTAATTGCATATCTTGACAGCGAACAAAAATTTTGTAGCCATCAGCTAAGAATTAATAAGATAACATTGTTACGTACATGAATTTCATAAGGAAAATTAAATTTAGTGCCTGTTTAAGTGTCCAATGTCTGAGAGACGAGGAACTACAACAGGTACACCACGTGCCTTCTCAAGAGCAAAATTTATCCTCAATGGTCTACCTAACAGTGCCTGCAAAGAAAATATCACTCTCAAAAGCAACTTCAATAGGCAACGATATAATAATGTATTCTTGATGCCTCTTACCTTTCCATCCATTGCATCCTTAGCACACTTGGCATCATCATCATTTGAAAAGATGACAAATCCAAAGCCTCTAGACCTACCACTGTCTTTATCATACACTATCCTCACTACAAAAAATGAATCCTGTTATTTTAGAATATAATTGAGACTAACAGAATCAAAGTGATATTTTACTTCGAATGAAAATGAATCGATAAAAGGAAAATATCAGATGCTGGTAAAAGTACAAGTGGTGCTAAACGTGTTTCCAAACTACGTTTATGGCAACTACAAGCTCTCAACGACCATATGCAATGCCCAACAAATGCGTATGGTTCAAACAATACTGAACTGGATTTATTTTGCTACAGGTTTCCAAATCATAGGTGATTCCAAAATTAGGACACATAATAACTGTAGCAACTACTTATGTTTTTGTGATTGTTTCTTGAAGTTCTTGGCCATATTTTTCTAAATATAATGTAGCATTTCTTTGAAATTCTAACCCAACTAGATAAATAACAGTAGAAGATCTCAGTTTACCCATGAAACATCAACCAGACTCGATACTGGAATATTGAATGTAAAGTCCCCCAAACCGCTTTCTTCATATCAGTGAAGGAATTACTCCAACTCTTCCTCTGCAAATCCAATTGATAGTTATTGATATCATTCACAAACCCTAAAGGCTACAGAAGTCTTTAATATTTGGTTCACACCCTTATGGTCTTCCAATCCTTTCTGTCTTTTCTTTTCTAGGATTTTTTCATGTCCTACCCAACTGAATCCTCAAACCTCTGTTAAAATATTCAGAGATATATTCTACATTACTAAGGAAAAAAAAATCACAACAGCATTCAGAATTTTATTTACAGAATCAAATTCAAATAACAAATTTGAGACATTTTTTTTCCTCCAATTCTGTCAAAAAGCCATAACCGCTTAACTCAGGCTCATCATCTTCTAGAACTTGATCACCAAAGACATTTGTATTTCTTTCTCTTATAGCAGCAATCATGAGCTACCAATAATTGTAAGTTAATTTTCACCACTGATTGATGAGAGTAGCAGAAATTTCACGATTGGAAATAAGAGAACAACCTTCAACATACAATAAAGTTTTACATCAAACATAATCTCAAACTAATCCTCTAGTAGAAGGTGCTTAGCTTTCTTGCTTCCTAATTCCATCACACATTTTGCTGCCATTAACACATTAAGCTGGCAGACATGAATTTTGGTGCCAATGTCAAATGTAAGAGAAATATTCATTGGACAAAACTTAGGCGTTGTTCTTCAATTAAAATGTGAGTTTCACCTCAAGAATGTGTGCCAACCTTTAATGCTGACTTTCATTGCGTGGGTTACTGAGATAAAATTCCTATTTTTATTGCAGAACACCACCAAAAACACCTATGATATTGTCCTTATGTTTTGTCTACATCCACTTAGTTTTGACCAAAAAGGTGTGGTAATTTGGTGTCAATTGCTTTCTGCAACAAATAACAATCTTATTGTTCCATTCACTTAAGCAAATGCAAACTCACAGTAGACCAGCTGAATGACATGACTGTATGTTAAATTTGTGACTTGAAAACAATAAGACTGACCAAATATAAGCGTGACAAAAAACCATGAGGCTAATCTAATCCAACCATTTAAGAATGCAAGAGTCAAAAGGTACAATAGAAAGAAGGAACAAATACAAATAGAATCAAGAATTCAAAGGTGTTAGCGTGTGTTAGTTGCTAATAAAAAAGCTTGTGTATCTGACTAGTTTTCTGTTAAAAATAACTCTTGCTGTCAAGTCAGTTGTAATGATTAGGATCAGTGAACACTATATATATATATATATATATATATATATTTGTATCACTCAGATTTAGTTTCCAATAATATTCAGAAAAGGTTAATCTCTTTGGGTCTCTCTTTCTTTCTCTATCCTCTCTTTACAACATGCTATCATGAGCTTCAAGATCCTGATTCATGGCATTTCTTAGCAATCCTTTCATTACCGCTGACACTAGTGCTCCACCATTGGCGTTTTCCAATGCTTCAATTACATTCTCGCACACCATATCCTTGTGCATCTTGATTAGAAGAACTTTCTTCTCTGGAAGCAGCAAGTTGAGGCCATGAGTAACGCTCATCACCTTCATCAATTTGTAGTTAATCCTAAGATTCCACCATGAAGTGAAGAAGATCAAAACATTGGGAAACTTTACGAGACCTACCAACAATGGGAGCAATAAGATCAGTTGCTCTTCTCATGGCTTCTTTCATCTCTGTCTGAAACCACTCTCACTAATGTTGTTAGTTGCACATAAACATGTCAACTATGCGATGAGATTCATGAATTCTTTCATTTTCATACCCATGCTAAGGCACGACAATTGTGTTGAGAATATATCATAATGATTATGATTTATCGTAAATATTTATTCTCATTATTTGTTATTATTATCTTTACGATTATTAGAAGATATTCTAGGATATTCTCCTGTGCAAATATTAAGATTAGACTCCTATATACATATAAATAGTAGTGTATTAAAACAAAATAGAATTTCAGTACTTTCAAGTAATTGTGATCTAAACTCCACTATACAAAAAAAGGTACTCGATCTATTTCAGAATATTTTACTTTGAATCAAAACCATTTTTTACTCTTTGGTAGCAATTTGAGACACTGTTTTGCCACGAGCATTGATACAATTTTGGATAGTCCTCATAAAGATTACAATGTTTTTGTGACTTCTATCACTGGTCATCTAGAACCATACACTATAAATGAACTCAAAGCCCTAATTCTTGCTCATGAGATGCATTCTCTGTAAATGTGGCACACACTAGTACTGGTCCTAATTCTAGTAGTATGCCTAACAACAACATTGCCAATTTCTCTTTGGCTTTGAATTCTTCCTTTTGGCCTCGTTCAAATTTTACTTGAGGCTATGGCAAAGGCAATTGTGGTACAGGACAATTGAGGTTGTGGATGGAACCATTTTTCTCGTTACCATGTTGCTTGCCAAGTTTGTTACAAGTCTAGGGATGATGCCCTATCATGCTTTCATCAATTTGATCAGACTTATGTTCCTTATCAAACATCATCTTTCCAATATTATAGAACTTCTTGGTAATTCTGCTAATAATGTTATGCCTCCTGCTCCTACTATTCCTTATACATCTAGTGTTGTTCCAGCACCTGGTACCAATCTTCCAACTGACTTACCCTGTTCTTCAATCTCTAAGTCAAAATCCACTCTTCCAATGTAGACTTGTTCTAAATCAGGAATCTACAATCCTTGCCTTCATCCTACTCTTCTATTAACACATATATAAAACCAACCTATGGCTATCTTAATCAGTACAAAGCTCATCTAGTTGCATCGGGTTTCCATCAACAGTATAGTTTTGACAATATTGAAACATTTTCACCTGTTGTCAAGCCTGTAACAGTCTGAGTTATGTTTACTCTTGCCTTAACAAATAACTGGATCATTCAACAACTTGATATCAATAATGCTTTTCTCAATGGGCAATTAGGTGAAAAAGTATATATGGTTCAACCTCCAGGATTTGCAGCTGTTGATAAGACAGTGGTGTGAATCATTATATGGCCTAAAACAGACTCCTAGAGCATGGTTTGAGAAACTTACTAACACTCTTCACAGTCTTGGCTATAATAAGTGCAAATGTGACTCACCTTTGTTCATTCTCTTGAATTCTACTCACCGCATCTATATCCTAGCTTATATGGATGATATTCTAATAATAAGGAACTCTCCAAGCTTGATTCAGCATCAAATATAATGAAGCTCAACTCAACATTTGCTCTAAAAATAGTAAATGAATGTTGACTATTTTTGGGGCATTTAAGTCAAGCGTCTAGTTCTATTTTACTGTCTCAATCAATATATGTGCATGATCTGTTAGCCAAAGCCAACATGTTTACTGCTAAAGGCATTAGTACACATGGTTGAGGGGATCAAAACTATCCAAGTTTGGGTGAGACTGTTTAGAAGATCCTAGTCTATATAGGTCCATTATTGGTGCTCTTCAATATGTTATAGTCACCAAACTTGAAATCAGTTGTAGTGTTAACAAGGCCTGTCAATTTCTCTCTCAACCCCTTGGTGGTCATTGGAAACTAGTTAAGCAAATACTAAGATATCTTCAAGGACAATTACTTTTGGCCTACTCTTTCAACCTGCTTCTTGGTCAAATCAACTTGCAATTTGAGCCTTCTGTGATGCTGATTGGGCAGTTGATCCTGATGATCGACATTCAACCTCTGGATCTTGCATTTATTTTGAACCCAATCTAGTTTCCTGGTGGTCTCAAAAGCAAAACTTAGTTGCTCGTTCCAGCACCAGAGCTGAGTATCATAGTCTAGCTGCTACAATGGAAAAAAATCTTTGGCTTCAGTCCTTGATTCAAGAACTTCAAATTACTATACCAATTCCAGTTGTGTATTGTGATAATCTTTGTGCAGTTTCTCTTGCTCACAATCCTATTTTTCATTCGTGAAGAATACAAGAGTTCAAAAAACCAAGAGGCTAATCTAAACCAACCATTTAAGAATATAAGAGTCAAAAGGTACAAATACAAATAGAATCAAGAATTCAAAGATGTTAGTGTATGTTAGTTAAGCTGATAATAAAGCTTGTGAAACTGACTAGTTTTCAGTTAAAACTAAATCTTGCTGTTATGAGTGCTGTAATGATTAGGATCAGTGAACACTATATATACATCTCTCTTTGTATCACTCAGATTGAGTTTTCATTAATATTCAAAAAAGGTGGTCTCTTTCTCTCTCTATCCTCTCTTCTTCAACAGAAGACATTACAATTGTGGCCATATCAGTTGCACTTGCCCACAATTTTCCACAGTTTTGGTAATCTCAAAGCAATCACACAACCACGATAGAAAAAAACAATTTTTAAAACCTTCAAAATAATGATATCTAAGTTCCACAATTTTCTACAGTTTTGGGAATCTGAAAGCAATCACACAACCAAGATAGAATTCTAAACAATTTTTAAAACCTTGAAAATAATGATATCTAAGTCCCATAAGCACCAAAAGGAGGTAGAAACAGCATCATATTTCAGTCAACCGTCCGGTATAAATTGGCTATTAAATTTGATATCTAACCAAATTACACTTTTACACAATTACTAGTTCCAATTTCTTAACAATATTTCATTGAGACAAAACGTCGAACATTTGGATGGGTATCAGAAACAATTGAAAAGACAACGACTCAGAAAAACATTGAGGCTTGCATTACCTTCAGTGACGTTTCCGAAGGAAGAGAAAGCATCTTTGAGAGACTTCTCATCCACTGACCATGACAACCCTGAACCACCATCAATGTCAATAAACGGTGAAGAATGGGCATAAAACGAGAAGCGCAGAGAGAGAGAGCGAGAGAGATAGAGAGAGAGAGAGACCTCCCACAAAGAGCTTGTTGGAGGAAGGAGAAGAGGGTGGAGAACAGTAGAATCTCCATTGAGGAGGAGGAACGCGGAACTTGGTAGAAATGGTGGTTGCTAAATACGCCAGAGGCTTGTTCATGTCCCCAAATCCAAGTCCACATGCGTCTTTGCTTGCATTTAGAGTCGGGTTTAGCATATAAAAGAGGGATTATAATTGGTATTTTTTATGAGAAAAAAGAAAAAAAAAACAAAAATATGAGATTTTAAAAAAATTACAAAAATTTCAACAATCTTCAATGTCATTCTTTTTTTGTTAAAATTGTATCTTTTGATATTTAAAAAAAAAATTTTTAAAAAATTGTCATTAAAATTTTGGAAAGAATCTTCAAGTAGTGTATATATACATTTTTTAATATTTTTTATTTTTTTAATATTTTTCTCACTCTCGGTTATCTATGTTTCCTTTCACACAATTTTTAAATTTTTTTACTTAAAAATACTTTTCTATAATTATTATACAGGTGTTTAACACAAAAACTTTGTTCTATTCCAAGTAAATTCCTAAAATCACACATCAAATAATTATCTTGCATATTAGTTTAAAAAATATGTACTTTGTTAAAAATATGAAACATGATGCATTGGTCATCCATTTTGCTAAAAATAAAAGTCAATATCTTGCATACCTCCCAAAAATTTGAAATCAAACCACTCCAAGAACCACTTTCTCTTTGTTTTCTCCGTCTATAACTACAATTACTATTATGGATAAGTTATCTATATCGTCTTCCACGTAAACTTTTGAATTATTTACCTAAAAATATCTTTTTATAATTACTAGATAAGAATCTAACATTAAACATTTGTTCAACTCCATATAATAATTGCTTAATGACTAATAGTAATTTCTTAAAACTACACACCAAGTAACTATCTTAACATATAATAGTTATAACTTATGCTGATTAGACATAAAGGTCAATGTCTTGCGCACTCTCACACCCCTAAAATTAGAAACTAGTTGCTGCATAACCACTACCTCTTTGTTTTCTCCTTGCATAACTATAACTACTATTGACAACATTTGGTTATTAGGATTCTTCACTATAGCAGTCAAAATTTATCCACCATTATATCCTTTTAGAAAGCAATCATCTAATCCTATGATTGGTGTATACTTAAGAAAACTCTCCTTCTTCAATTTTCACTTAAAATAATTAGGCTTTTGTTTTCTAAATTTTGTGTTTTTAAGCGTTTTCTTCTAGCAATTCTTCCATTTCACATGATTTAATTGTTCTTCAATCTTCACTTAAAGCAATTAGATTTTATTTTCTAAATTTCAATCTTGAAACATCATAAAAATTCTATGAATTTAACCAAGAAATTTGCATTTAAGTGAATTTATTCTTCCTTTCAATCATTAAACAAAAACTAAGCAATTATGTACTAATTCTTAATTATTTTCAATTATTTTATTCTAAATTTCTACATGACAAACTCTAAATCTACTACAAGTATAGATTCATTATTATCTTTTGTAGGCTTTTTGTGAAGGATTTTAGCACCATTACTAGGGATGAGAATTGGCCAGGTTAGGCTAGGGTTTCGATATGTAGGTCTGACCCATTTAATAATTTTGAAATCTGAGTCTGACTTAATATTTATCATAGGTATTTTATTAAACTTAGTCTGACATTTTTAATGCAACACCCTTTTTTCTTAATTATTTTATTTGTTATTAATTATTATTAGATTTTTGTTTCAAATTTAAAAAGTATAAATGTTGGTAACCGTAGAGAGTCTTGCTCAGGCTAGACTGAATTTTCTTGATTAGGAATTTTAAAGCATTTTTGCTAAGGTAAGATGAGTCTCGCCCATGCAAGATCGGATAATGTTGCTCAAACTTTCCTTTCGCGCAAACCGGAAGTCACAGAAAAAATGAAGAGCTCTCTAGACCCATTCTTGCTTAGACGAGAATACCCTTGCTCAGGGAAGAATGTAACATCCTCAAATTCTTATTTAAAGATAAGTAAATGTTTATAGCACAAAGAAAAATAACAGAATTATATTGTGTTTTATAAATTTAAAAATAAAATAAAAACTAAACTTACATTTCTGTTAAGAAATTTTATAGGGTTTAAAAGTGCTTAAAACTTCCAAAGTAATAGTTTCAAAGTTTTAAAGTGATGAATAAAATTTTGATTTATATCTAACAATTATTTGATTCGTATCATATACATATAAGTTTAAAATACCATTAAAAATATTTTCAAGTTATTCATTACAACAAATTTTTTCAAAGTATTATAAATTCTAAAATCTAACATTTAAAATTATTTACAAAACTTGGTCAACATAAAATGTAATTAGAATAAAGTACTACAATTTCTCAAATTATTTTAGTTCCTACAAAGCAGTCTTCCTTCCAATAACACTAAACTATGATCCTAGAACGGATCAATCATCTTTATTCCCTCCTCATCCACTTTCCTGAAAATTGTTAATAAGGGTGAGTATTTCTCGCCCCACTAAATCTCTTATTCGATAGAAGAAAGATATATATATATATATATATATATATATAATACTGAAAATATTATCTAATATACACTGGATTAACAATAACACTCAAATCATACAAATCATCATCACAACGGAGCACACACATAACAACCAATCAATCATCTTTGCAAATATTTATAACATGCATTTTTACACTAATTTGTATGTTATAACACATGTATTATACTACATCAATCAATATGTCACAATACATGTGTCATAACCGCACCTGTCGATGTATCACAAAACATATATCATAACAACATTAACTGATATGTTATAATGCATGTATTATAATCATACAATTTCTATACTACTTCATATTTATCACATTTTCACATTTATTACACTTTCATATTTATTGCCCTTGGGATCCCTTGAGGACTTCATAGCATACATAGTTGTTGGTTAGCCGCAGCAACATGGATACACATGTGCCAACTCAGACCTTTTTAGCAAAGATATAATCAGGGGTTTAGGGTAGGAAATGAGTGTGAGACTTGTGGTGTCTTTTCTATCAATTTTTGTTAATTTTACGCAATCATGGAAAAGCATCCACCACCCTCATTTTTCTCAGATTTTCACAATTGCCCCTATCTTTCACACTCCCAGTGTATTTCTATGACTATCTATACTTATTCTCAGCATTTCTCATGTCATTCTCTTTCTTTTCCAAATCCTTTTCATAGATCAACATATCATAATACATAAGTCTTGATCATATAACATAATGTATTACAATACATGTATATTAGTACACCTTTTGATGTACTACAATACCTGTATCATAATCACATCCATCAATCTATTTTAGATCACGTATTATAATCACATCTCTCACAAATCCACCATCATGTCATATCATTCCATTTTATACATAAAAGGCTTTCTTCATTTAAGAATGTCAAACACTTTTCATCATTAATATAATTTCACCCATTTTGACATACCTCAGCTATCAAACAACATCTATATTTATTATATCATTTAATACAAAAATACCATCAAACAAGTTCACACAATGTGCCGAAGGCCAGACACCTCCGAACTCAGCCTGATTGTACAATCCAACATACACATTTTCTCAGTAATAACAAAGTATGGCATTACCCAATATTCACTATAAGTCTATTATTCTAAAAATGTCAAATAGTAATCTTAACTATCTTCGAACAATGTTCACTAGTAAAATCCTTATTCCTCAAAATAGTTTTGTTTAGATTTTTTAATACAATTTATATTTATATAGTTATGAAAATAATCAAGGGATTTTTCATGTCTAGCTCTCTATTCTTACACTTTACATTTTAATAAAATATTAGGGTTCTAGGGTTCTACAGGAAAACTTAGTGTTTTCAAATCAAAATACCAAAGAGGGGGTTAGGATTTGGGATCAACTCCCTTTACCTTGAAATGGGTCTCTAAGATCAAGTTTTCCTAGAGATCCAAGGAAGAGGCACTATGTCCCGAGAGAGGATATCACCTTAAAGGTTGAGGTTTCCTTAAATATAAAAAAGTATAAAACTTTAGATCAGATAGAATTGAGAAACAAGAATGAAGTTGAAGAATCAAGCTCCAAAAAACTTACTTGGATCTGAACGATTGAACTTCCAAGCCCGAATTCGAAAAAAGATTGAAGTTTAGAGGAGGATTTCTGAGAAGAGAGTGTGAGAGATCGGAGAGAATAGAGGAGGGATTGAAACTTTGGATTGTAATCCAAGTTTTCTAGGTTAAAAGCCCTTAAATATCCCTTAATTCGTGATATTTACACTACAACGAGCTCTTCTCTCACTGTGCGAAAAAAACAAACAAAATTTTTCTTTGTTGTTTGTCATTCTAGCTGCAATGAAAGAATTTTGGCTATAGTGAGAGTACGTCAGAGAGTCTGATTCTGGATGCTCTTGATATATTAGTCTTTTTAATAATCTATTTCGTATTAAGATCTTTAATAAGACATTAAGCATCTATATAAATAAGCTATCAAACCATCAATAGGCATGTCTCTGAAAAGGACATAAATCTTATATTTAAACCCACAAAAAAATAGTTCAACACCTTGAATATTTATAATAAAATTATATATTCTTATTTATCACTTTCAAAATTTCATATAAATAAGTAAATTACTAAATATACAATGAACACTATTGAATGAACATCAATCTATAAATCATTAAGTAAATCTAGTAGTATAAAGTTTCACACCTTAAATCAATAAACGCAATACATCGAAATAAGTTTCAGACCTAAAATTAGTAAATACAACAAACAAAAATTTAAAATACACAAATAACAATATTATTCCAAAGTAAATCATAAAGATATTAATGAAAAACATGTATGAAACCAACAAACAGGAAGCAACAAATATCTCATCCTTCATGTTGTTCATCAACGTTTAAAATAAAGAAAAAATATTTTTAGAATAAAAATGCTTTGAATATAGTTTTTATAATTATTCTTTAAAAAGGTTATCTAAAACTTATTTTACTATCACCTATTCGTATAAAAGAAATTAAATCCAAGTTGAAAGTTTGTAGCGCTAAGTTGTCATAGAGAGAGAGAAAAAGTTCTATGCTTCTTTACTAAGGTTTTCTTAACTCTATTTCTCTTTTTCTTCAAGCATCATCATGGTCATCTAAATGCATTCTTAAGGGTTATTCCCTTAACCCTTCTCAGTTTCAAAAAAAGAATCTTTCTATGGAGCATGTGGAGTACAAAAATGCTCCACAGAGGATATAAATATGGACCATTATTAAGAGTCTAGTAGTGTGTAGTTTTTAGTTAATTTTAATCTTCTTTTCTTTTTCTTTAACTTCTTACTTTTCATTTTTCCTCCAAAATTATTAGAATTCTAGTTTTTAAAATTTTCTTACCTTACTACTATTTTGGTGAAAATTGCTAAAGTTTGGATATTCATTGCAGGTTATTCAGCGTCAAGGCACAAACCTATGTATGCCAGGGCACCACTCAAGTGTGACAATGTGCTTTCTAGTCATCTTATGCCGAGGTGCAAGCTTGTGTGCGCTAAGGCGCTTATCACGATTAGCTAATGAAGTTGTAGGACTTTCGGCGCCTAAGCGCAGACATTTATGTACCAAGACGCAAACTTACTGATGTGGACAAAAATACATATTGTGTAAGATAAAAGAGATTAGGAGACATATTGTAGTGAAGGCAGAGTTTTTTGTGAGAGAGAACCAAGGGGCAACTCTTTCAGAACAAGAAGATTGGAGAGAAAGATTGGAGAAGATTCGCAAAATCATTTTCTTCTCAAGAACATGGCTAAGGGAACCTCTCCTTCTTTTCTTATGATTTTCATTTCTGTGATGGATTGCTAAACATTTTATAGTTAGGGTTAATGGATCCCTTTGGGATTGTGATGTAATTAAATTCTTAACTCTATTTTAAGCTTCTTTTGATGTTAACTTGTAAATTTGTTCTTAACACTTGGTATGAACTAGCTAATCATGCTTTGTTTTAATGAACCTTCTTGACATTGGAAAATGGAATGAGTGGTTGTGCTTCTTGACTTACTTGCCTCATCATTTAATTTACTCGAAATAGAAATTATTGGGTGTGTGATCTTTTGATTTTCTTGTACTCTAAAACCTTAGACTCATACATTTAGAATTAAGGAATTAATCTTTGTGTATGAGTACAAGAGAATTTATATACCAAGGAATTGGATATGAATTAATTTAGTGGAAACTTTTCCTAACATCTTCAGAGCTTGAACTAGTAGGGGTGTTTATCACATGAATAATAGGTGAAGTTTAATCCTAACTATCTTGTCATTGAATTTTCTCATCTTATTTTAGATTTTGTTGTTTATTTACTTGCAAAGTGAATTAAATCAATTTGTATTTTAGAGTCCCTTTAAATCATAATCGCATTTAATTAGTTCAATTTAGTGAATGAATACATGTTTGCATCAATCTCTGTGGGAACGATACTTTACTTTCACTATATTACTTGTACGATTCAGTGCACTTGCTGAAAGGCGTTGTCAAGTTTTGAGCGACGTTGCTGGGGATTGAGAGTTAAACACTCTTGAAAGTAGCTAATAGAACCACTTTGGATGCATTTTTATCTTATGGTTGTTTTTTTTGTTTGATCTTTATCTAAGTTTGTTTTACTTTGTGTTGTATGCGAGGTACAGCTGATCCAAATTCACTTCTCTTTGATCAAGAAATTGGAAAAATAGCTAAGAGGAATAGAAAAATAGTTAGAGCAAGGAAGAAGAATCGAATAGAAGCTTCATCAAGGCATATTGTGGCTGATAACAACATAATCCACCTCGGAGGACTTTGGGGCAATATGCCATCCCTATTGTTGAGGGGTGTGCCTCTATTATTGTGAATCCACCAATTCAAGCTCGCACAATTGGTGCAGAACCAATATGGAGAAGATCCACTAGAAGATCCTAATTTGAACATTTCTAATTTCCTACAATTATGGAACACTATCAAAATGCAAGGTGCAAGTGATGATGCAGTGAGGCTGCACTTATTTCCTTTTTCCTTAAGAGATAGGGCTAAGCTTTGGCTTCAATCTCAACCTCAAGGGAGTATTTCAACATAGGATGAGTTAGGGACTAAGTTTTTATCTTAATACTTCCCACTTTCCAAGTTTTCAAAGATGAGAAATGAAATCATCTCTGTCACTCATCAAGACTTAGAGTCATTGTATAAAGCTTGGGAGAGGTTCAAAGATCTATTAAGGTGATGCCCACATCATGCTACTTTTGAGTGGTTACAACTTTAGACTTTCTGTAATGGATTGACCCTAGCTACAAGAACTATGATAGATGTAGCAGTTGGTGGATCTTTGAATAATAAGACAAGTGAAGAGGTGAAGGAATTATTGAGACTATGGCATCAAATAGTTATCATACTCACAAGGAGAGGAATTTGCCCAAAAGAGGAATCCTAGAGTTAGATGCTATGCAAACTTTGTTGGCTCTAAACTCAACTATGTCTAATCAATTAGCCCAACTCAAAAAGTTAGCATAATGAGATAAAAATTGGAGTGGTTGTTAATGTTCAACAATTAACATGTGATTTTTGTGGAGGTAATCATCCTAATGGACAATATGAAGTTCCCTTAGATAGTCAAGGGGGACATGAGCAAGTGAACTACATGAACAACTATTAGAGATATGCAACTAACTCTTACTCCAACAATTATAATCAAGGAATTAAGAAGCAACCTAATTTTTTTAATGGGAATCAAGAAGCTCAAAGGGGATCTTCATCATTTAATCCCCCATATAGCCAATCTACTCAAGGCCAACCATCACCATTGGATCTTGCATTAGAGAGGTTGACCAATCACACTTCATCTTTTGTGCAACAAGCTTCTGATTTCATGATTGAAACAAGAACAAACTTAAAAAATCAAGATGCAAGCATAAGAAATCTTGAAGTTCAAATTATGCTAGCGTTCTAAGCAAATAGCATAAACTTTTATGGGGCCATTTTCAGGCAATACAATAGTTAACCGAAAGAAAGACTACAAGGCAATAACTTTAAGGAGTGGTAAAGATGTAGACCTTAGGCCTAAAGTGAGACGATATGATGATGAGTTGAAAAGAAAAGAAGAGAAGGTAGGTGAAGAAAAGGACAATGAGCATGTTGTTGGAGAAGAAGTTAAAGATTCCTTAACACTTGAAAAAGAAAAATATGATGAAGCAGTGGTGAAAGAAGGAAGGCAACAGAAAGAGAGACTTATAGATGAGAAGTCACACTGGAAAAAGACTAAGAAACAACTCTTGGAGGAGTATGAGAAGTCATAAGAGATTCCATCATTTGTGAAGCTCCCTTATCAACCTTATGAGAAGAAAAAGGAGAAGGAAAAATAATTCGCTAAGTTTCTTGATATATTTAAAAAGCTGCAAATTAACATTCCTTTTGCAGAGGCTTTAGAGAAAATGCCTTCCCTATGCTAAATTTATGAAGGAATTTCTATCAAAGAAGAGAAGGTTGCAAGAAGATGAAACCGTGGCATTAACAGAAGAATGTAGTGCTATTTTGCAGGAGAAACTTCCACCTAAACTTAAAGATCTTGGAAGCTTTAGTATCCCATTTACTATTGGAAGTATAACCATTGGTAAGGCTTTATGTGATTTAGGAGCTAGTATCAATCTGATACCACTATCCATTATGAAGAAGCTTGGTATTGATGAAGTTAAGTCAACTACAGTTTCTCTCCAATTGGCAGACCGATCAATTAAACATCTTTATGGAGTGGTGGAGGAAGTATTAGTCAAAGTGGATAAATTCATTTTTCCAGTGGATTTCATAGTGTTGGACATGGATGAGGATACGGAAGTACCTCTCATTCTTGGAAAACCATTTTTAGCAATTGGAAGAGCTCTCATTGAGGTTGAACAAGGAGAGTTAATGTTGAGAGTGTAAGATGAAAATGTCACCTTCAATGTTTTTGAAGCTATGAAACATTTGGATGATAAGGAGCATTGTTAGCGCATTGATGTTGTTGATAATTTGGCTGTGAGAAATTTAAGACAAGCTGCCTATGACAATTCTCTTGAGATGCAAATGACCTTGACATAGAAGAGTGTTTGCTTAATTTGGAAGCGTTGCCTATTGACACCTTCTCAAATAGGCAAAGTGAGGAGTTGAAAAATGATATAGATGCACAGTTGGAGAAGCCAAAAATTGAGTTGAAAGAACTTCCCTCAAATTTCAAGTATGCCTTTCTAGATGAAAATGACACTAATTTTGTTATAATTAGTGACTAGTTAACACATTTAGAGGAAGAAAAATTGCTCCGTGTGCTTAGAAAGCATTAAGAAGCCATTGGTTGGAAATTTTTTTTTACTTGAAAGGGATAAGTCCAGTATTTTGTATGCACAAAATCATGTTGGAAGACAATTACAAGATAGTGGTATAGCCTCAAAGGATATTAAATCCTACAATGAAGGAGGTCGTGAAGAAAGAAGTTTTAAAGTTGCTTGAGGCCGGTATGATCTACCCAATTTCTGATAGTGCTTGGGTGAGCCTAGTATAAGTTGTACCTATGAAAGGTGGTATGATTGTGGTATGTAATGATAACAATGAGCTCATTCCCACTCGCACAGTGACTGATTGGAGGATGTGTATTGATTATCGAAGGTTAAATCAAGCCACAAGAACAGATCATTTTCCACTTCATTTCATGGATCAAATGCTTGGGAGACTAGCTGGCCATGCCTACTACTGCTTTCTTGACGGGTATTCTGGGTATAATTAGATCACGGTAGATCCTGAAGACCAAGAGAAAATAATATTCATATGTCTTTTTGGAGTTTTTGCATACCAGAGGATGCCATTTGGACTATGCAATACACCGGCAACATTTCAAAGGTGTATGCTTTCTATGTTCTCTAATATGATTGAAAAATTTATAGAGGTCTTTATGGATGATTTTTCAGTTTTTGGTTCATCTTTTAATACTTGCTTGACTAATTTCTTTGGTTTTGAAGAGATGTATTGGGACTAATTTGGTCCTTAAATGGGAGAAAGGCCATTTCATGGTCTGGGAAGGCATTGTGCTTGGTCATAAGATTTCTAGCAAAGGCATTGAAATGGACAAAGCCAAAGTAGATGTCATTGGAAAATTACCTTCACCTATGAATGTTAAGGGAATTAGAAATTTTTTATGCAGAATTTTATAAGTGGTTTATTAAAGATTTCTCTAAGATTGCTAAATCTTTGTGTGTTCTATTAAATAAAGATGTGTATTTTGATTTCAATGAAAAGTGTTTGCATGTATTCAATACTTTAAAGAAGAAATTAATTTCTACTCCCATTATTTCTGCACCTGATTGGAACTTGAAATTTGAACTCATGTGTAATGCAAGCGACTATGCAGTAGGGGCTGTTTTAAGGCAAAGAAAAAGGAAAATTTTTCATGTCATTTACTATGCTAATAAAGTTTTGAATGAAGCCCAACTAAATTATGCCACTATTGAAAAAGAGTTGCTTGTAGTTGATTTTGCCTTTGACAAGTTTAGATCATATCTTATTGGTTCTAAAGATGTCGTATATACTGATCATGCTGCATTAAAATATTTATTCAAAAAGGTTGATGCAAAACCAAGACTAATAAGATGGATTCTCTTGTTGCAGGAATTTGACTTAGAAATAAAAGACAAAAAAGGCAAAGAGAATGTGCTGACTGATCATTTGTCAAGGATAGGAGATAGAAGTGTCATTGTAAAGGAAAAGGAGATAATGGAGGAATTTCTAGATGAAAAGCTTTTGATGATCAAAGAAAGGCCATGGTTTGCAGATATAGAAAATTTTAAGGCAACAAATGTCATGCCCCAAGATCTTACATGGTAACAAAGAAAGAAATTTCTGCATGATGCTAATCATTTTTTGTGGCATGATCCCTTCTTGTTCAAGATTTGCCCAGATGGATTACTCAGAAGATGTGTGCCCATGGAAGAAGTTGATAGCATTCTATGAAATTGCCATAGCTCAGCATATGGAGGTCGTTATAACGGGGAAAGAACAGTCACCAAGGTGCTTCAAAGTAGATTTTATTGGCCTACACTATTCAAGGATGCTCACTAATTTGCAATGGCTTCTGACAATTGTTAAAGAGTGAGGAATATTTGAAAAGAAATGAAATGCCCCTAACTAATATATGAGAAGTTGAATTGTTTGATGTTTGGGGAATCGACTTCTTGGGCCTATTTCTATCTTCCTTCTCTTATGTGTATATCCTAGTGGCAGTAGATTATGTCTCTTGTTGGATGGAAGCCATTCTAACATCAACCAATGATTCAAAAGTGGTAGTGTCATTCATCAAAAGGAATATTTTTCAAGGTTTGGAGTTCCTCGAGCTTTAATTAGTGATGGAGAAAGTCATTCTTGTAATTCAAAGTTGGAGAATGTGCTCAAGAAGTACAATGTTCATCATAAAATTACAACTCCATACCACTCTCAAACAAGTGGTTAAGTTGAAGTGTCCAGTAGAGAAATCAAGCGCATACTTGAAAAAATAGTGAATAATTCAAGGAAAGATTGGTCTAAGAAGTTAAAAGACACCTTATGGGCTTATAGAACTGCTTTCAAGACACCTATTGGACTGTCACCATATCAGCTTGTGTATGGGAAAGCATGCCCTTGCCATTAGAGATGGAACACAAGGCTTTTTGGGCATTGAAATTCCTTATTTTTTATTATCAAGCTGTTGGTGAGAAAAGATTCATTCAAGTTAATGAACTTGATGAAATGAGGCTCAATGCTTATGAGAATGCAAGAACATACAGGGAAAGGACCAAAACTTATCATGATAAAAATATTGTACGTACGAGTTTTGAGCCAGGTCAATTAGTCTTACTCTTTAACTCAAGACTTCGCTTATTTCCTGGAAAGCTAAAGTCTAGATGGTCTGGATCTTTTATGATAAAGAAAGTTTCCCCATTTGGTGCTATTGAATTGCAAGATCCTGAATTGGGAAGAACTTTTAAGGTTATGGGCCAAAGGTTGAAACTATATCTTGGAGGAGGTGTAGATAGGCAAAGATCTTCTATATCCCTTTCATCTCCACCATAAAAGCTAGTTTTGTCAAGCGAAGGACAGTAAACAAGCCCTCTATGGGAGACAACCCATAAGTTTTCTATATCTTTTTCTTTTGTTTAGTGTAGTTCATTTAGCTTGTTTCTAGTACTATGCATAATAAACACATTTTTGCATAATTGATGCATTTAGCATTGCATTTGTACATATGACATGTTTAGCTCATTATTTTGGTTTAGAGTTTATTTATGCAATGCATATTTTACTGTGTTAAACAATATTTTAGTTGCTTAGCATTATTGTTTGCATACATAGATAATTTTTAGTTACATCATGAATGATAAGTTTTAGAGTGAACAATTTTACAGCATAAATTGCATCTGCAGTTTATAGTTTTGCTACTCTGTTCAGCGCTAAAGCACACAAGTCTCAATGCCTTGGTACAGCTCAAGAATGAAGAAGTAGCTCTCAGGACATTTTGTGCGTAAGCACCAACTTCTTCGCGCCAAGGCTCTCTTTTCTATTGGAAGTAAAGTTCTCTGGATGTTTTGGGCTCAAGCGCAACATAGGAGCAAACAAAAAAAAAGGAAAAAAAAAAAAACCCTCGCTGTTTCAAAATCATAACTTTTCAATTTCAGTTTATATTTTTCCAAACACTTTTCTTCCCATCAATTCTCTTCTTATCTTTGTTTTGTTAGAACCCCACTGTGTTGTCAAGGTTTTGTGGGAATCCCCAATCACCATTGCATCTCTTATTCCCTCTTATTCCCTTTTTCCTTCTTCCACATTTCATCAACATCTCATAATGCCTCCAAAAAAAAAAAAAAAAAAAGTTGTAGATTCTATATCGAGAGAAAAAGGGAAAAATAATCGTAACCATAAAAAGGCCCAACAATCTCAAACAAATCTACTTGGAGAATTCGATTCATACAAATTCATCTAATCTGTCCATGAGAATCGGTTCAACACCTATACAATGATGCAACGATTTTTTTGAGAAAGGAGATTTTTGTTGGGACTAGAGACGTATCCTAAGATTAGGGTAGAGATAAAAAGAACAACTTGGCAACAACTAGTAACTCCACGAGGTAATGCTTGTAAAGTTTTGTTTAGAGAGTTATACGCTAATGCATTTATTCTAGAACCCCGACCTAAACTTATATAGTACAAATCTTTTGTGAGGGGCTATACCTTCTCTGATGACATAGACTCTGATGATGATGAATACAATGTTATGTTAGAATCAGATTGGGATAAGCAGGAAGTGTTGAGGGAAATTTGTTTACCAAGTGCTAAATGGAAAAGGAGAGGAAAATCAGCAAATGAAATATGTCTTTGGAAGGTTGCTCTAAAGTCCATTTCAAGAATTTGGTGCAATTTTTTGTAAGACAAGTTGTTGCCTGTATCCAACAATAGTGCCGTCACTAGAACCAGAGCACTTTTGTTGTATTGCATAATGAGTGTGGGAAGATTGATAGCTTCTAACATTCATCAGCTTGCTCAAGAAAAGAAAAAGAAAAACTTGGGGTATCCACAACTTCTCACTTCCATCATTAAAGCTGCAAGAGTGTTACAACCAATCATTGAGGTTTTAAAGCCAGAAAACTCCCTTACTAGAAAGTCAATTGATAATACTTTAGAGGGTATACTTGAAGAATTTGTCCAACTAATTGAAAAGGGTAAACCAATTTCATGTTCTATGCAACCTATTAAGGAAACAGTATACTACCCACAGTCTTATGAAATCAATAGCAAGGAACCTTAATATTCCACATATACTTATTCCACATCTTCCTCCTTTGGATGAAATGGAACTTGCCTTTTTGATGCTGGAAGAGAATCAAACAATGATAAGAATAGGACTGATGAGGAATCTAAAGTGGAAA